TCGCTGCCTTTTCGTAGTAATTATTATTTCAGGATCACTCACGATTGGTGGAAACAGACGCGTCGTACGTAGAGACGTCATGTTATCGTTTTAGAAGTTTAATAACGAAAACACATCACAGCCAATCATTGGAACTCTTTTCCATCTAAACCAGTTTACACAGTTTTGATCTAGCGCCACCTGTATTTATTTATTTTTTTATATTCACCAAAACTGGAAATTTTCAAATATTTTCCGAAATATATTTTACCATATATACTCTGTATATATACATACTCTCTGAGCTAACTCTGTTAGCTTTCCATAAGCTACAGTCTGATAACTCTGAACCAGTGGTTCTCAAAGTAGGGGGCGCTGAGGTACTGCAGGACAAATTAATGTTTTTAAATTTGTAATTTTTTATATTTTCCAGTGCTAAAAATGTACTATTTTAATTCTATTGGTTTTTTTGGGGGGCATGGGGGGGCTGAGTGGGTTGACAGGTGTTTGACAACACCCCTATCTACAGAAGGGGGGCGCTTCAGAAAAGCTTTAGTAACTATAATGCCATAATTATAATTTTCGATTCTTTGTATGAAACTTTGGTCATTTTGTTTGGAAAACCCATGTAATTAGATACAAATAATTAATATTAGCAATTAGCTAACCTTTAGCTTACGTATTTTGATGATTCCTAACACAGCGGTCCCTGACCTTTACTGTAACAAGGACCGTTCGGCCGCTACCAGCTGTTACTGTGGACCAATAATATCGCACCATCGTTGACGGATCATTACGTTTTCAAAATAAACAATTTTTCAGTCTTTCTTCTGTTCGTATCAGAGTCTGAATGACCTTTGACCTGTTGTTTTGAAACATTGACAGATTATCTTTGAATGAAAACAACAAATTAATTTGACTGGATTACTTTGAAATGAAGTACATTAGTAAAATCTGAAGTACATTTTTTCTACTGTGTCCAACGGTGGACCGGTACCAAATGTCTTACGGACCAGCACCGGTCCCTAGACCGGGGGTTGGGGACCCCCGTACTAAAATATGTGTGACTAGTGAAATTATTATTCATAGCAACAGTGGTGTGAGTTTAGGTTCAGAGTTTTAGGTTTTATCAACCATCAACACCACGACATTTATGGGAGCCAATGATAATGTCAGACTTTTTTTTTTTTATTCACATTACCGTGAGCCCCGCTGCTAATTTCTGACCCCGGTCTCGGTGTAGTGCCTGCCATCTGACACTCACAACGGGGAAACTGTGGCGTCGACAAGGAGACATATCACTGTATTTTTAACACACGCCGGCAGAAACGAGCTGTGGAAATAAACGCGCGGGGCGGCAGATGATGGCCGCGGGCTAACCGAGTGATCCGAGTCTGTTGGCGGCGCAGCGCTCTGTGCCCTCGGAGATGGGCCTCTTCAGTAGGTTTACGGGTCACACGGCAGCAGGCAGAGTGGCCATTGTGCTTTGTCATTTCACAGGTGACTCACATCACTACACTCAAGCATGCCGGCGGCAGAGCACTCGGAGACGCCGGCTGCATTCAAAATGCATGATTTCCAGCCCAGTGCAAACAAATCGCTTTAAAAGATCAGTTTAATCTATTTGGAGCTGTTATTACGAGCCGGGAGAGTTGTTCAGATAAAGAGACTGAAGCAGGGTTAACATCAGTGCGTTGGACAACTCTTCACACACTTTAACCAATGAGAGAGCCGGCAACTTTATTGTTTTTTTTTTTTTACGATACAGGGTGAATATGATGATTAAAAAAAAAACAACAAAAAAAAAAAACACCAACATCAGCAGCAGACGTCCTTTTTCCACATGGTAACACATGACAAAAAAAAACAAAATCTGAATGTTCGTATCAGTCGTAGAAGTCGTCGGATTCGTCGTTGTTTGCGTTGAACGCCGAAGGTCGTAAGGCGGCTTCGATCTCTGCGTTGCTGTCATCTGACTCCCCCCACAGGTCTGAACAGGAAGTTAACAATAAAAAGAGATTAATAAAAACAAATAATACGAACTGCTCACTGCTGCCACCTTGAATTCGAGCTCAACCAGAGAATTACATTATAGTGTACATTAATGGTTTATATATATATATATATAATAATAAGATACTATTGATATAATGATGGGAAAAATGCCAAATATTTCTCACATTTTTATTTTTTTGTAAGCAACAGAAGAAATTTGGAATCAGTAAAAATCGGTATCGGTTCTTTAGACATTTACTAAAAAAAATCATATTATTATTATTTTATATAATTTATATTTTTATGCAAGAGTTTTTGCAAGAATAACGAGTACAGGAAGCTAACACTGGCAATGCTGATGCTAACATCTGGTTAGCTTGGAAATACTCTGTCTGAAAGTTGGGTTTTTAGTACTTCATTCCAGGTACTTTATCTTGAAGGTTTTTGAACTGAAGAAAGAAACTGTGACTGTGAAAATATTACACAATTACTTTTTTTTTTTTTTTTGCCGACGATTACTTTACTTTTGTATATGCTGTCAATAGAAGAAATAAAGAATCAGTAAAAGAAACGAAGAAATCATATAATTATTTTTATATATCATTTATATTTTTTATATTTTATCCCTCCATGTCTTTAAACTTAGAGTTTTTAAAGTTTTTTGTTCCAGACAGATCTCAATGTCTTTACACTTCAAAATGTTTAAATAACAATACTTTTTTTTTCTAACGATGATTTTCATCTTTTTTTGTTTTTTTTTTACCACAATGTTTTTCACTCACTATTCAAAAATTCAACCTTAGCTTTAATTAGAAGATAAAGGAAACTCCTGCTAACGCACATCACTGGCTCTGAAGGTCTTCGCTGCTAAAGCTAATCATTTCCACTGTTTAATCTTTGTTTTTCTGACACATAAACAGGCGCTCGCCGGGACGCCACGCTTCCTCATCATATTATCTATAAGCCTTTAATAATTTAGCCCCAACATCCTTGAGCCTTTGTCTCAGCTGCGATGGCTAATGTAGGGACTGAGTATTTCAGGCATTCACCAGGGTGCGCTAGAGCTGGGTGAAAAAAAAACAAAAAAAACAAAAAACAAAAACAAACAAAAAAAAAAACCAAACCATCAATCGAAGCTTTCAGAATGTGTCTTCAAGGTCAGCTCTTCCACGTACACTTCTTCAAAAGGCCGAGCTGTATTTAGCGATATTTTTCATCAAACCACCAGCGCACTTGTGGAGTTCAAAATCCACAATAACTTCATATTTGTGAATGCATGTGATTAACCTCTGGTCTCAACCCGCGTCTTCAGAAGCTTCTGGAACCACGTTTTCCTACTCACCTTTTGACTGTACGGCAGAATGAGCCTGTGAGTTGGTCTTTTCTCTCCTGTCAACACACACAGGCACAAATTAGCCTCGTCAAGATGTATATGAACGGTGGCGCCCCCCCTTCACCCCCCCCGAGATACCGCTTTAATCGGTTCCACAGCAGCACTCGTATCTCGATCGAATTTTCCTCCATTAAAAAATAACTAAAAACCAAGTAATTCGTTCCAGCTTTTCCAGAAATATAAACATCAAAAACATGGATGTGAACAAATAATAATAATAATTAAGAAAACATTTTATATTATTGTTATAAAAATTGGTAAAATAACCCAGAGAGGGAAAATGAGGGAGACAGCGCCACAGTGTGTCGAGTTGAAAAATGGAGCTGGGTTGATCCACTGGTAACTTGGTCTGTGTTTCCACTTCCTGTCTGGTCAGTGTCATCACACTCACCTGTGTCTTAGTGATTAGTCTCACTGGTGCCACCTGGTGCCCAGGGTGTATATACCTCCCTCCCTCACCTCCATGTTACAAACAGAACTCCATTCCTTGTCCTGTTTCGTTAATTCGTACTTTGTGAATAAACCTGCTCTCCTGGTATCGCACATATAGGGATGTAACGATACGATCAACTCACGATACGATATGATTCACGATTTTTTGTTCACGATACAGTTTTTTTTTGTTTAAGCCAAATGAGCTCCAGACCAAACTGTGACCAAATCCACTGACCTCCTCTCTTTGTCAGAATTGGGTCAAATCCCATCACTAACTGACATGGTCTGTGAACCTCACCAACTGACATGGTCTGTGAACCTCACCAACTGACATGGTCTTTGAACCTCACCAACTGACATGGTCTGTGAACCTCATCAACTGACATGGTCTGTGAACCTCAAAAACTGACATGGTCTGTGAACCTCACCTGACATTTCTTTCCAGAAACACTGGAACATCTCCATTGATCTGCTCTGGTTAAACTGGTCAAACTGGTCTGGTCTGGTTGACCTGGTTAACTGTCAATATATGAAACAACAACAACAGAAGAAGAAGAGAAAAAACAGGAAGTGGAAAGAGTTCCACTGGAGAACACTGTTGGTGTCTGTGGAATCAGTTCTTCCCACGTTCTGTTTCAACACCTGAACGTCTCTCAGCCTACGTAGAGACCTGATGTCTGGGTTTGATAGTGGGTCACTACCAACGTTTTTAGACGCATACTGCCACCTACTGGACTGGAGTGTGTAGTGTCAGGGTATGACCAGTGACGTACAGCGACGTACTCCTTAGACCTTGATCGATGCAAATTGTCACACATTTGTATCGATTTTTTCTAATCGATTCACGATGCACCGTCCTGTCGCTAGATCTGATAGAAAAACTTCCCACAGCGTGGCGGGTGAGGAGCGGCGAGGGCAGAGACGAGAACTTTCTTGACTCCTGTTCTAATTCAACTTCCACAAGGCCGCCTTTATCCCACCGCAGCCCAAAGACAGGGTTGCCAGGTTCCCATAGCTCGGCCGATATCACTATGTAAATGTGTGCCCTCTGAAAAGGCTTTGATCTACTTCAATGCATATGCAATAAGCCCCCCCCCGCCCCCCCCGCTCCAATTTTAAAGGCCTCCTCTTTAATTTACATCATCACAGAGCCCATTCACCAGCCACCACAATATATCCTCACCATCGTCTCCCAGGTTAACGTACACGTCCATATGGCTTATTTGTTTGGCTCGTATACATCGGCGTTGACGCTGAAGCTTTTCTTTGAAAAAAAAAAAAAAAATAAGATGCAGAAATTTAAGCAGATGAGCCTGAAGGACAAACAGCAGCGGGGTGTGTTCCTCCATCTGCATCAATTCAAACCCATGACCTCTGTGATTGTCATCCTCTCCTTCAGCCTCATCTCCTCGGCTGAGTCTTGGCACATGTGACTGTACGTCGAGGATAAGGAGTAAATTACTCTGGCCGTGTTCCCGCAGCCGTCTTCTAAACTATATATTGCTGCTGCGCGCCACTTGAAGCAAAATGAGGCAGAAGAGATGCACCGCCCCCTCCTGACTGCAGGCAGATTGTTTCCAGCTACAGGAAATATATACCAAACCGCCCGCGATACGTGCACATTTAAATACAAATGTACGCCGGGACACGTCGAGAGCAAATCCCGCACGGACGTCGCTCGTTCAGCTCAACGGGGCAACAACGTGGTTACAAAAAAAAAATGTGAGGGCTGAGCTGGTGAGACAG